CTTGTACTGCGGCGGCGTACCGACTGTATGCTTCGATTGCTTTCTTACAAAAGGCCGACGAAACTTATATTCTTGGCGACGTTTCCCTTGGAGCCCAAGCTGAAACAATGTGTGCCATACTAATCTTCTACGTGCCTACACTTCCGAAAGCTTTCAAGGACGTTAGGAACCCCTTCAAACTCCTAAAGTCTTTTTTCTTGCGACCAAAGGGTTATATAGGTGCATCATCTGTTGAATCACTTTTCGACTCCAGCGGACATGTTGAATTGGGCCTCTTACATCCACCAAAAACGCACATCTCGCAAATGTCGATCTTACGTACTACCCAAATCAGCATTAATAGGGGGTATGACTATGAAGGCTCTTCGACGCATTTTCAAGATGCTGGATACTACTAGAAAATAATCTTCATCAGAGTTGTTGACGCTTGTTAGCCAAGGCTAACAACATTAACACCTTCGCAGCGCTCTCGCTGAATCGGGGTCAACCTATCTCTAACAAGCCAGCTTCAGAGTGTTACGATCACTCACAAGAAAGGGGACATCTGTATATAGCTAGCTAGGGGCTAGCCCACGATAGGCCAGTAGACTTTTGCTTTGAAAGCCCTCCAACAACTTTGAAGCGTTAAAATTTATCAGCAACCGTTCTTATCCCCACCGCCATTCACAATGAATATGTACATCCGAGCTTGTTGGATGGTGACATTCCAATTCTCTCCAGTGTTGGCCTTTCCACCTACTGATGGCATTTCCGTATAACATCCTCCTACGGTATTAATGAGCTTGGCAGTTCCTTTGTTGGGATCAACCCATAGCCCCGCGCCTTGCTCCAGTGGGTTGCCTATCCAATAAGGCGCGTTATCAGACGGTACTGAGCCTTCGTTTGCCACAAACTCGCTAAGAGAGGCTTTCGCATCCGCTTTGATCAGATCTACTCGCGACAACTCGGTTTTTTCCCATTGTAAAACGCGGAATGTGGGCAGAATTTGGAAAAGCATGTGCGTCGTCTTAGATGGAATAGGGAAGAAGGCGCCTATGACGGTGTTTGAAGTATCTGCGTCATCCGTGAATATCACGACGTATGCAAATGAATGATCTGAGATTTCCCGGCTTAGACGAGACATCGACGTATCTAGCGAGCCCGGCGAGACTTGCGTTGTTACCTCCAGCGCGAGCCGTGTATCTCGCTGATTAAAGCTTAGAATACCAGCACTATCATCGTTGATAGGAGGCACAAATAATGAGACGATTCCGCCGATACTATTCAGTCCCATTTCGTTGACTTGTGGTTTCGTCATATCAATAGCGTCCGAAGGCTGAAACAAGACTGCCCACAGCTGCTGGAATCGCCATAAGAGATTTGGCTGAGGATATCAGTATGTAATCTCTTTTCTCGGCACCTTCAAATGCTTACTATCAAGTCAATGGCTCCGGTAAGTTGCTGAAAGGTAATAATCTGCCCGCTGTCGTATCCTGTCAAAGCATCGACCAAGGCCTCAGTCAAATACTCCTCTCCAGATTCGGCTTCCACGATTTTACCGAAGTGACAACGCGTACCCCATCTTCTTTCTTCTAGTCTTAAACGTAGTAATAAACGTATTAATGCCGATAAGTCTTCCCGTTTCACCACCTGTCCTCCCGCCACGGGAGGCCCTTCGACGAACAGCTTACGTGCAACTGACTCAAGTTGTGGTTCTGAAGGCATCGCGTGCATAAACTGAGGGCCGATCATGACTAAAACATCCATAGCATCACTTAAGCTAGAAGCCATGTCCACTTGCTGCTGACTTCGCGATTTGTGGTCGGGTGCCGCCGCGATGCTTCTGAACATGCGAACGAAGCTGGCTTTGCGGAAGAAAGCTGTATCCCGGCGCCAATACCAGTCCAGTTCGCGTGTGCCAAGCAATTCGTCACATTGGGACACCGTTAACAGGGTCGCACGTATGAATGCGTTAAAATCAATTTGCGCATCCTGGTGGAGGTCGAGAGGGAATGGATGATATGCGTAGAAATAAAAACTCCTCCAGAGAAGCGCGATGGTGGCGTCGGAAATTACGCCTGCGGAATATGAACCTCGAACATGGTTAAAGAAGCTTTCTTCGGTCCAATCTGTATTAATTGTGAGTGATTGTTTGAGTTGCCGAGTGAGTTTCTGCTGAGCGTAGTCTGGTTACATTTCTGATGCGATAATGAGTCCTTGATGCAGTGCTTGTCAAATGTTGATTGTAGAGTTCCCCGCCCCTTTATTTGCGGTGTAAGTACTTTCTGAATGTCGCGTAAAACCGAGTCTGTAGTTCTTAAAGTCAGACATTAGGTAGATTTTCAGTTTTCAAGCAGCTCGTTGCCTACCGCGGGTGGATCTACTGAGATATTGCCTCACCCCTCGATTCTGTGGACCCAGAGCAATATCATTTATTATGTTCCCCAACAGTGAAAACATGGTTCGTACAGACGTGTGAATGAGAGAGGCCGCGAGGTGAAGTCAGTGAATTACAAAATAGAGATACGAGGTTTGTAAGGAGGAAGAAAGTGAGAATGATGGTGGGGTGAGTAAGCGCGCTATACCGCGTTATGTGGACCCTTGGACAGTTGCAAAGTGCTAGATGTGTTCACCAGGAGCTCGTCAAGTAATAATCGAAGCCATGAAATGTGTAAGGAATAACAGTCTTGTGGTGTTTATAAGTGATACGATGACTGTTGTGTTTTCTGACATGTAGAACATCGGCGGATACCCTCTGAGGCGCCTAGATTCGGTGTCAAGGAGCCGATGACTTGGCATCAGAGGGTAAAGTAAACTTATACAAAAAGTTTCGTAGTCCGCTTTCTGTCCTGGCTGTCCTCAAGACATGCATATTAGTTGCTTATTATCGCTTAGGCGTAGGTAAGAATTGGTTGGGCTCCGTACTCGTAATTACATTCCCTCCGTTGCTCCTTTTCCTCACCACTATTATTGACCTCCAAGTCATTCTTGTCTTTGGTCTTCGTCTTCTCGATACTGCGTCTGGGTCTCTTCAGTTATGGCTGTTTGGCCCTGCCATGAAACGCTACGGAATAATCGCCGCTGACCCCCTGCCCGACTATATAGATCAGCAGTATGCGTAATACGATAAAGATAGGAGCTTTTCTCCTGTACAATAACAATAGGTAATGCTGGATACCCCAATAGTGGGAACTGTGACAAAGTCTGTTATACGTCCTGAGGGATTCGCGTGATATCACGCTTTTCTCAATCTCTTCGAAGGCGACACCTTTGGAAGACGACTAAGTTGTCATGAGAACGCATATGTTTTGTGTCGAGGTATTAGTTAATATCGTTCTGGGCTCCGTATCCCTATCAAAGCTAAGGCTTACCATATTACGAAATATAGGCAATTTGGGTCAAGCAAGGCTATATAACTAAACGTACTGGCGATGCATTCTTCGCTATGCTAAGCACTCCCAGCATTTCCAATTGGAACTTAGACTCACAACAGTACTTAAAGACTTCAGAATGACTTGAAGTTAGCGATAGACAGACAACAAGGCAACTATTTAGAATTGTTAGATACGGTTGTGCCTGGTTGTGGGACGATTATCCTAGAGTTAAAACTGCAGCACTATCAAAATTGGAACGTAGCCAAGTCTGGTTCTTGAACTGTTTGCAGCTACTATATACAGCCCGTGACAAGACACCATCATTCTAGGTTTTGCTCAGGTTACAATATGGGAACTCTACCTCAACCATAGGCGAAGACTACCCCCGGAGTAAGCGAATGCCTCCAACATCTTGCTGATATGAGAAAAGGCAATGGTCAATTCTTCGCTATAACTATCGTAAGAATTGAACAAGTGTCTATTAAAGAGCTTGTTTTCCATCGCAACAACCGATGAATATGCGCTTGCTTTAACGAGATGTCGCCAAATTCAAGTGGCCTATTCATCTGCCAACACGGGGCCTAAATTTCTTTTCTACACTTGATAAAGGGAGTAGAAACCAGACTTTCATGTTGGATCATTAAGTATAATAATATCCAGATATTTTATACGTACTACGCTAGCAACAACTATTGATGAATGGCTCTTAAAATATGTTTCAGTGTCGCATCGAAGAAACTCGTAAACCACAGATGAGAAACAACAAACTGTAATTTTAAATCCGTTACAGGCAGATTCTTCCAAACATATAATCAATCCATTTTGAAAGACTATTTTTATAGCAGTATGAAACGTTGCATTAGCCCTCAAAAAAAACCTCGGCTTGTGCTTGAGCCCCTGCCGCCACTGTGCGTGAATAAAGGGGGAGGGGGATAGCTTGGAAATTGCTTGCAGTTCGATTATACAGTAACTCAATCGAATTTTCCGATATGTTTCGAGTAAAATGGATAATCATCTCGCGAAGGAGACTTCACTGGAGTATTAGTAAGGTCACGGGAGGGATGCTTGAAAGCCATTCAAGCCTTTGTCATTGATGTGTGACGTAGTGAGCAAAAATTCAAAGATACTGGAGTACCTCTACTAGACAACATAGAAGGTATTAGCATTAGATAGGAAAATTCAGAATCTAGTCCATCTACGTGTCAATTGTACAATAATTGGTTTGTCTGTGAGCTAGCATGTTTCTCGCGAGCATCTAGTTTGTATTCTTACATACCTCAATCTTCTTCCACCAAAGTTGATCTCGATTATAGAATCTCTTTCAAGTTGCTACTATAGACAATGTAGCATAGGATCTGCCCTGCAACATGTCATGTACGTTTTACGAATTTTCTTATAGGCTGCCTCGCGCACTGACACGTTCAATTCAAGCTAACAGTTGCCCCTGCATAGACGCATAGACAGTTATTTGTAGAGTGAGATGCTGCAAATGACTTACAAATTGGCTGTTGTGCAAAGCCCGAATGCTATGTATCCGTCGGCCCGAAGTATCAGCTCGTCATCCTTAACTTTAAAAACAGAGAGAAATACAAAAAAGGAAAGATTGTAGGCTGCTATCCCCAGTGAACTGGGGAGCATCAGGAATTGAGCCCGATGCGGGGGTCGAACCTGGTCCAGACTGTTAGTAATTGTCGAGCTGAATGTTGAGACTGTAACATACCCGCAACCTTGAGATTAAGAGTCTCACGCTCTACCGATTGAGCTAACCGGGCGTTGAAGTGGGTGTTTTCGCTGAAAATTTTGTTTCTTATGCCATTGATTCAGCTGAGCCGATGATGGATGTGCGGTGCCGAGTTTTCGCTTATTTTATGTTCCGCTGGGATAGGGCCTGTATTGGGTTCGGATAACTACCAATTAAGTCCACCGGGCGGATATCGTTGTATTACATAATGAGAGCAGGGGTACAAAGGGAAATTCCTCATGGATCTGGCATGTAAGGTATTTTAGATCCAATGCCAAGCGTTAGGATACTGTGTTATTGATGGAAAATACAGTCTGGATGCATATTACGTAACTTGAATAGTCTTAACATGAGCAGTGGGATGATCTGAAATGATGTACTTGTAGATGATAGGGGCTAGGCTTGTTCGAACACTATGTTTCAGGCAACCCATGTGCAAGCTTTCCATCGAGCTTCTGTTTTTGATCAAAATGTTTCTTGGCTATGTTTTGGAAACAATCCTGGGGCGAAATTCTGCCATGGTGTTTGGGCCTTAATATAATGATTAAACGGTAACGCCGGGGATACCGGGGAACCTGAGAAGGATCATGTTACACGGAGAAACTGCAGTCGCTATTCAAAAGGAGTCAGAATCGCACATCAAAGAGCTTGCTAACAACCCAGCAACTCCCTCACGGCAATTTCTCATACGGAAAAAGATCATCATCATAATCACTATGGTTGGCGTAGTCTCACTGGCACTCGGGCTTGGGCTCGGCATCGGTCTTACACGGGCCTGCCCGGCTCCGAAGTCATCAACTTCAACCCGGAGCTCCTCTAGCCAAGCCGCCGTTATCCAGCCAACTGTCGGTACCACCTGGGACTACCCCCTGGGATTCTCCCTAACAACTGCCAACGCAAATAAGACCACCAATTTCTATCCCGTGGATCTTGAAAATACATCGGCGGATACCATCGGGGCACTGAAGAGCGCTGGACACACTATCGTCTGCTACTTCAGTGCCGGCAGCGTAGAGGACTACCGCCAGGACGCGAGCGAGTTCCCGGCGTCGGCCATCGGCAACACGCTCGACGGTTGGCCGGATGAGAAGTGGGTAGACCACCGTAATGCCAAAGTCCGCGAGATCATGGCGGCACGCATCCAGAGCGCGTCGGACAAGGGCTGTGTGGGCGTCGACCCGGATAACATCGATGGGTACACAAACGATTCAGGCTTCGATCTTACTGAGGACGACACGGTGGACTACGTGCAGTACCTGGCCGAAACGGCGCATGCGGCTGGGCTTGCGTACGGTCTGAAGAACTCAGGGGCTATCGTCGACCGTGTCGTTGATGTCGCAGAGTGGGCCATCAACGAGCAGTGCGCAGCATACAAAGAATGCGCTGACTGGGCTCCTTTCGTGAAGGCCGGCAAGCCCGTCTTCCACGTCGAATACACCGACGACGACGACGCGACTAGCGTCAGCGCCTCTAAGCTGGCTGAGGCGTGCGCCGCCGATGGCCAGTCTGGTTTCTCGACCATTGTGAAGCACATGACGCTCGATAACTGGATTGTTTACTGCTAAGTGTACTTTGGTGATATCGGTCTCGTCGTGCTTTGTTCTATTCCCGACTTGTATATATATAACTTTACCTTGTACTTGTACATATAAAAATAAGCTTTCTCCAATTGGAAATCGGGTTTCACGATATCGCATCGCTATCAATAAGTGTTATTAGCTCTCTCCCTAGTACCCTAATTACTCGCCCAGGTTCGGAAACAAAGTCGACGCAAAGCGAGGTGAGCTGACACATTTAGAGGACCAGCCATGATCACTATAAGTTCGTGATATCATACTAGGTATGGGACATGGTAATTATTACAGGCAACTGTATGTGAATAAGCCATTTGTGTTTATGGAAGCTTTATGAATCCCTGAATATACAACTTGGAAGTAGGTCTATTCGAATTGGCCTTGGGATTTGGCTTCGGTAAAAGAAACACCTATCGATATCGATGCATTTACCTGGGTCGATAAGCCCGGGCCGAGCTTCTACCGAACATAGAACCCCACCTGAGCAGGCTAGTCCCTGGCGGTACGTACCTTATCGGTGGAGGTGGACCCCAGAGCTTTAGAGCTTGGATCCAAAATTTTCAATTCGGGGATTTCAACTTCGCTCGTTTTGTATTGCTACAGCGAGAGACCGTTCCCACCGTGTCCTGGGCGCAAATACGGGCTTGTTGCCATTGATACGATCTGCCGACTCCAATTGCATTTGTCTCGACTCGCTTGCACATCTACACATCGATATAAGTCAACCTATCCTGGTTGATACCAGCCGCAACCATGCCGCACATCGACTATCTTCTATACGAGGTCAGCACTTTGAGGTCTCTTGTGCATTGTTTCTGCGAGTTCCAGGCAGGAATGGGAAGGAATTGTTTCGTGGCGAAATCCAGCTAACCCTTGATTTCCGAGTTAGTCCGCGACCGGATACGCCCTCTTCAAAGTCGTCCACCAGCAAGATGACATCGCATTGCGGATGGAGGAGGTGAAGAAGGCTGCCGAAGACCTGTCCAAACTCGGCAAGATGCTGAATCTCACCTCATATGCGGTCTGGAGATCCGCCGCCGAGGCGCTCGAGAACATCCACTCCATCTCAGAAGGTTTGATGACCGATTATCTAAAGTCCACCATCGAGCTCAACATCCCCGCTTCAAAGAAGAGCAAGATTGTTCTGGGTGTCGCCGATAAGAATCTTGCGGGAAATATCAAGGCTGCTTTTCCGGGAATTGAGGCTGAGACGAGCGATACGTCGGAGGCTGTCGCGTATCTGCTTCGCGGCATTCGTTTACACGCGTCTAAGCTGTTTAAGGACCTGAAGGAGGGAGACGAGGAGAAGGCCCAATTGGGTCTTGGCCATGCTTGTGGGTGTTTTATGCCTCAAGTCCATCAATTGCATTCTACTGACAGTGCCTGCCAGACTCTCGTAGCAAGGTCAAGTTCAACGTGCACCGTAATGATAATCATAGTGAGTTACCCATGATGACGTGCCCCCGGCCATAGTTGGAAACCCATAAAAGGCTCGGGCATCTTTACTGAACAATTAAAATTAACAATCTGCCTCTAGTCATCCGCTCTATTGCCACGTATGTATTATCCCAGAGACGCTCTCTAACCAGATTATCATTAACATTGACCGGATAGCTTGGACAATCTTGACAAGGTAGGCATCCAATTCCAATCTGGTGTTTCACAGTAGAGATCTTTAAGTAAAATCATTACTGGTTGAAATACCTCAGAATTCTCCCGTCATGGTTTTTAAACCGTGATGTAAATGACGATTACTGACTCGTTGTCCAGGGCATCAATCTCTTCTCTCAGAAGCTGTAAGTATTATGGAGATTTATTTTCTTCCTATAGAGTCAACCTCTGCCAGTGGGCTCTGAACATAAGACCTCCCATCCATCTGACGGATATCGTTCCAATAAGCATGTCACTGATTCTGTATTGTAAAGTCGAGAATGGTACAGCTGGCATTTCCCAGAACTGGTAAGCAGCATTGATTCCTCTGTCACGAAGCACACTAACCATGGATGTCGTAGTATGCGATCTGTTCCGACAATCTCACGTACGCCAAGGTTGCGCGCTTTGTTGGGGATAAGAGTACATTAGGCGATGACAAGCTTCACGAGTTGGCTGGACTCATAGGTGATGACGAGGAGAAGGCCGCTGAGATTATCCTGAAAGCGAAAATGTCTATGGGCAGAGAATTAAGCGAGGTTGATCTTGAAAATGTCCTCACATTTGCCGAAAAGGTCCAAAGCTTGGCAGGTAAGAAAGACTCGCATTTGGGTGACAATTTGCTTGCGAATACTGACGGCTCATTTTACAGAATACCGGAGAACCTTGTACTCCTATTTGACTGATAAGATGAGTACCGTAGCGCCGAATCTTGCTACCTTGAGTTAGTAATCTCAAAATCTAAGCTGATGCCATCAGCTTAACTCTCGCCGACTATTACTGACTCTTTCTGGAACAGTTGGTGACGTGGTTGCTGCGCGTTTGATTCAGAAAGCCGGTTCCCTCACAAACCTATCAAAGTATCCTGCCTCAACTCTACAAATCCTGGGTGCGGAAAAGGCTCTGTTCAGAGCTCTCAAGACTAAGAGGTTGGTATTTGTGTCTTTTGGTCTCTTCCCCTTCCTTATTCTGTGATTCATCATGGGCTGGATGTCTCAGTTAGAATCACTTACTGCCGTTACCCCTCCCTGCTTCCTTAGCATTGGGCTTCCTATCCTAGAATCTAATTACTGGCTTGCTAACCCTGGGTGTATATAGTAATACCCCTAAGTATGGACTCATTTTCCATAGCAGTTTCATCGGAAGAGCAGCGCAAAAGGACAAGGGCCGCGTGAGTAGATATCTTGCAAACAAGTGCAGTATCGCGTAAGTCGTCATCCACGCTTTTAATTCGGGATTGGTTCCGAGCCAGAAACAATTACTAATAAGTTCTGACGCAGTGCGCGTATCGATAATTTCTCCGAGGAACCCTCGAAGAAATTTGGTGAGGTTCTGCGAGGCCAGGTTGAAGACAGGCTAGAGTTTTATGCCACAGGCAAGAAGCCTATCAAGAACTCCGATGCTATGGTGAGTTTACCAGTAGTTATCGCTGTGTCACACCACTAACACACGAACAGGACAAGGCTGTAGCAGATTTGTTAGCCGAGGGCGAGAGCATGGCTATCGACACCGAGATGATCGATGCCCCAATCCCCACTGCTACACCTAAAAAGGAGAAGAAGTCAAAGGACAAGAAAGATAAGGAGGAGAAGAAAGAGAAAAAGGACAAGAAGCGCAGACATAGCGAGGTTAAAGGTACCGTAGACGCTGACACTGAGGTCGACGGCGAGAAGAAGAAGAAAAAGAAGAAGAGGCACTCGGAGGCATGATGAGTCAAACCTTGTCAGATCTCTCTTGGGCGTAATGTCTCACGCATGGGTACGGGCGTTCTGGATAGGGGTGCTATTTCTCGCTGGTGTCTGTCTGT